CCCCCCCCGCGAATTTTGCAGGTCCCCCTTCTTGTACTTCATAATTCTGTAATTTGGCAACATCTCAAAATTTATGTTCTGTAAGGACTGCAAGTTGCTAGAATGAGGCAGGATCAATTGGTGGGAAGGTTGGGAGTAAGAACTTGGTGGAAGGGCATCATGGACATAAGTATGTCACTTCTGGGGAAAACCTGGAAGTGACAGCGGGTAGCTCTAGGAATTGCCAAGAACTCTGTGGTAAAACACAGAAGTGAAGTCATCATACCTGTGCCACCAACTGGGTTTTGTTTCTTTTTCTATTCCCCACCACCACCACCACTTGGAGTGGCAGTGGGCAGTGTAAGTTTGGGGCTGGGTATCCTCCACTCCAACCTAGGGAATGGCATCCTTAGTTACAGCATGAGCTTGGCTTCGGCTCTTGAAAGTCCCCGGCTGAATCCCTGGCACCTGCAATTAGGGTCTTGGACTACAGGACTGAAAAAAGATCTATGCTTCAGATTTTGGAGCATTTCTGGTTGCCATTTAGAGCATTCACTCCCTCAAGCTGGGTGGCAGAGAGGCTGCTTTGGGAAGAAGCTGGTCCCTCAAGTCAGGTGGGGGCGTGACCCTGACCTGAAGGAGAGCAGGTATTTCAGAATCAAGTAAGGCCGTTGCGCTTAGGAACTTTGTATTCCAGTTGTTTTCTTTGTGTGGGAGTTGTACCCCGTGTGTGTGTGATGCACCCTGGGCTAATTCTTCTCTGTTTTCGTTCCTGTTCTTCGTTAACAGAGCCCATCTAATATGCCTGTATTTCTTTCTTGCGTTACTTTGGGTGAAAATCAGTGGAATACACTAGATGGTTTATTGGCCTGACTCAGTCAAAAGTAGTGACCCTAGGCCTGAGGCGGAAGAGTGGAGCTGCCTATAGGCCTCAAGACAGCCTTTCCCTCATGCACAGGATTTGGGCTTTGCTGTCAATTTCCCTGCAGGCCTGTCTTTCCCGGGCTCCCTCCAGGCTTGGCCCTGGTGAAATTGGAGGGAGAAACGGGAACCAATCGCTGATGAGGGGGCGGGCCTTTGACAGAGAGCCTATAAGGCCAAGTCGGGGTGGGGGGGGTGAGCATTCACTCCCTCAAGCTGGGTGGCAGTGAGGCTGCTTTGGGAAGAAGCTGATCCCTCAAGTCAGGTGGGGGCGTGAGCCTGACCTGAAGGAGATCAGGTATTTCGGAATCAAGTAAGGCCGTTGCGCTTGGGAACTTTGTATTCCAGTTGTTTTCTCTGTGTGTGTGATGCACCCTGGGCTAATTCCAGTTGTTTCCCATGTGTGTGTGATGCACCCTGGGCTAATTCTTCTCTGTTTTCGTTCCTGTTCTTTGTTAATTGTTACTATATTTGGTTAATAAGCTTGTCTTTTCCATTCACTCTGCCTGAGTCCCTCATGCCTTGTACTTGGCTGTACTGCAGGGCATGCCCTGACTGAAGAGAGAGCTGCCCAGGGGGCAGGGAGGGTGGTCGGCCTTGAACCTAGGGTTGCCAGCTTCTTGCTGGGAGTGGGAGATCTCCCCCCCCCAAGCTGTGGTTGCCTACCACTACTCAGGGTTTGTGGCAAAAGCTCGAGAGGCACCCTCTGGTGACATCACTTCTGGGTTGTCCTGGAAGTGATGTCATCGTGACAGAAATGCCATCCCCCCCCCCCCCCGGGGGTGTTTTCCCCCCCCCCCCCCCCCTGGAATTTCTTGCCTCCCCCATCTGCTGCCAGTTGATGGCCTGTGCCTGATAACTGTACCTGAACCAGAGAGTTGGAAGTAAGCCAAGACCCTTGGCGGCTCTGGGGTTGAAGAGGGAAGGGAGGGTTCCTTGGAAGGGAAGTCCCGCCCACAACAAAACCTTGCACCAATGGAATACACCAGACTGAGTGGTTTGTTGGTCTGATTTAGTATGAAGAAGTTTTTTTCATGTCCAAAGAAGATCTGAATTATCCGTTTATCTGAAGCTTAAATCTATTAGTATGAAGAAGTTTTTTCATGTCCAAAGAAGATCTGAATTATCCATTTATCTGATGCTTAAATCTATTAACTTGTTTGAACATTTCTTTCCCACCTTTCTTTTGCAAGTGGACTCCAATATATCTTTTCCCCCCCACAGCTCAGTGGACCCATTGATGATGCCTGCTAATGAGATGATACGGAAGGGAAGAAAACAATTGATTGAAATCCTTGAGAAGGACATGGATCTTGTTTTAGATGAGTTAGTCTCTGAATCTGTCATCACAGAGGAAGAATATGAGGCCTGCAACAAAATCGAGGAGGATTCCAAGAAAAGTCGAAAATTGCTTCTTCTGATACAGAAAAAGGGGGAAACGGCCTGCTGCCAGTTCCTGGAACATTTAGAACTTACATGTCCCGGTTCAAATCAAGTCCTGCAACATTCAGTGCACCGTAAGTCTTGCTTAATGTTCTTTTTAAACCCCAAGGACTGTTAACACGACTGCCATATTCCTTCTCACAACAGCAGTTACTATCCTCACATTGTAGCTCAGGACTACAGTCCACACCAGGTTTTTGCCACTTACGAGTGCAGTCAGAATTCTGCCCCAGTGAACCTGAGACTCAGCTGAAACACTTATCCCCATATTCAGACCAAAAACTTGCATGTGAACAGTCAGCATCACCTACGGCAGTGATGGCAAACCTTTTAGAGACCGAGTGCCCAAACTGCGACCCAAAACCCACTTATTTATCGCAAAGTGCCAACACGGCAATTTAACCTGAATACTGAGGGTTTACTTTAGAAAAAACAACTCATACATTAACTTAAGATGATCCAAACAAAGTAAGGAAAGCAATCCCAAATGCTTTCATTTACTTAAAATTATTTGGCAGAGAATTCGACACTTTAATGATGGTCTGGGTCTGGCTGGGGCGATGGCACACGTGCCCACAGAGAGGGCTCTGAGTGCCACCTCTGGCACCCGTGCCATAGGTTCGCCACCACTGACCTAGGGTGACCAAGAGGCCTGGAGAAAAATCTCCTGGCCTTTCAGTAGAGGCTTAATGAGGTGTTATTTACCTCCATATCATGGAAAGCTTCATCTCTGCGCATTATCAGCACAAAGGATCCTTACTATGTAGTCCTATGCAGAACTACTCCAGACCAAGCTCATTGATTTCAGTGGACCTAAACTGGCGTAACTCTGCATAGGATTGCACTGTTAAGCTCTCAAGGTTTTTTCCCCCTCAGGCAAACTGACCTTTTCCTGTCTCTCACAGAACCTGCAGTGTGCTTCAAGCTTCTTTTCATACATCTTCTCCCCAGCAGTTAGGATATTTTTGAATAATTTATGGCATAGTAACTTAGCAAGTGGGTAGGATGTTAGATGGGTAGCCGTCAGTTTTAAGTCTGTCACATATACATATTAAAAACTTGAGCTTTCTTTAATTGAAATATTTCTGTTACGAACTTTTGATATGGAAAGCTTCCTTGGCTCCGTTATATACCATAAAGGAATTTGATGTAGTCCCCCTGCTGAAGCGAAGGAGACCAGGGCTTGGGCAATACCTTGATGGGAGTCTTCCTGGGCAATCCTTACAAGTGCCATGTAGCATCCCATGATAGAAGGCAAGTGTAAAACCTGCATCAGTATCCTCTTCTTCCTGCCCCCACTAAGGCCTTACCCAGGTGGATCAATATATCGATACCTAAACGTGTAAGCCATATTTTAAATTGCCATATCTTCCTTCAAGGAACTCTGGGGATTGTAGTTTAATGACTCACTGAGAGTTAGCCGCTGCAGATCCCTAGGTCTGGAAAGCGGAATGACATTTCCCTGGATTTCTTGGGAAGTGGGATGCCTTGGTCTCTTCCATTTACTCAGGTTTAATCTGCTGCTTCGCAGAGCAAGGCACTAATTTTGGTGATGCCGGTCTGGAGTGCTCTCCTGCGGGAGTTCCCCATGCACGTCAGTTTCAGAGAAAGGCTTTTTTTAATTTAGGAAAGGATTTTCGTGACGGTGACCCTGCTGGTGCTCTGCTGAGTTGACTTTCCTGTTCTGTTGGATTTTAATTTTTGTTTCCTAGTATTTGGCTGACAATGTGTAATGGGCTGCTGTTTAGAGCTAAATATTTGTATTCCTGTGTGTGGTGTGCCCATTTGCCTGTAAACCAGAATAAGAGGAATAGGTCCTTTTTTTTTTGTTAGCTTAAGCAGCATGAGAATAAGCTGATGCTGAGCCTGTTCCCTCTTCTGTATTACTTTGTTACACTCTATTACCTGAAGCTTTTAGCTCTGGCCAGACTCCAATGATAGAAGTGAAGACAGGTGGGGAGAATACTTTGAACAGCTGCAGGCAGTTACTGAGAGAGGAAACAGGGGGTTAGTTCCCCTCCTGTGCACATTGCTTTCAATTAAAAAAATCCCCTCCCTCTTTATATGTGGATGGATATATGAATAAAAAATTTCATCACATCAAGTTTGGCCCTTGGTGTTCGGTAGCTATAGAGTTTTCCCATTATTATTATTATTGGCTGCACATTGCTTTTGTTCTCCTTGTGACAGAGGATTATGTGGCAGAATTTTGGTTTGAATGGAGACATGAGAGTTTCTGCTTTCTTCCATATAACTCTTAAGGAGGCTGGAGTCTCTGTACTAGCAGCATTAGACTTTGGTTCAATCCCAGAACTCACTGCAGCTCGGCCTGCGTCTCTAACCGGGAAAGCTGTGACCTCTACATTGTTTGCATTCCCCAAAACATATGGTGCCTTCTTGTTTTATAAACATCCATAGATTAAGGACAGTACTTATCTGACCTGCCGGATAACCCAAGGTTGGGAACACACAGGGTATGATACTTTTGATGGGCAGGGTCTTCCTGGGGTCCCATTGTCTCCTTCTTTGACACCCACTTTGGAAACACGTCGCGATAAAAGGGTATAAAAAGGGATGACATTTGAGGCTAGGGGCTGCCTTTTTTGCCCACCTTGTTCTGCCTCAGACGAGACAACCAAGAGATCTCTTTATTAGATGGTGATATGTGTACACTATTTTTGAATGCTCTGAGCTAAGTTTCTTTATTTTTTTGTTAAAGTGAAAGATTTTGTAATAAAGTAGAATGTAGAGCAAGCCTTTGTCTTTGCCTCTTGCCCAACGGGAATGGGCAAGGGAACCATATCTGGCCCAGGGGACCATAGCTAGAGCCTGGGTCCCTGGTGCAATGCAGGGACTCTGATTTGCCCTCCAGAACATTTTTCCGCAAGGAGAGATGTGAAATGGAAGTATTCAAGAAGGCTTTTCTACACAAGTGTTAGGGTTGTACTTGTACAGAATGGCTCAGAAAGCTACTAGGGCAAAAGTTTGGGGACTGTGCTCTAGGCTACCATGTATAGCTTGTACTACCTATTGCTGTAAGGAGGATCCTACTATGTAATTTTTGCATCACTTTACACATCATGTCAATACTTATGCTTTGCTTCACGTTCTGCTTTCAGATTTCTGGTTGGTTCCAGATTTCTATAGCCCAAATACTATCACACTGTTTTGTTGGATGTCCCACTCTTATGTTATCTGCTTTGAATCCCAGTGATAATGGTGGACTCTAAGTAATGTCAAGAAAAATGAATTTATATTTAGCAGTTAACCTGACTAAATATAAGTTTGTAGCATAAATAGACCCCTTGTCTGTCAGTGTCATAATTTGATGCTACAGCTCTTCTTAACTGGTCTAAATGATAAGAATACCAGAAATACAAACTGCTCTAATCTTGTTAGAGCTTTCAGTCATGTGCAGGAATCTGCTGCTTTTGAAATATTGACCGGGGGAGGGGGCTTTAGCTGGCTTCCCTTATTACAAAACCTGTTTTGTGTTTAAAAACAGTCCTGTACACATGAATGGGCAATACAGGTGAATGCCTGCACCAAATCTGGTTTGCTTGTTAGTGTTGGTTAGCAACATCTTTTAAATTGTACTTTAAATTTATGTTGTTACATTTATTTTATTAGTTTATATATCTTTTATGTAATCACTCAGCAGTTGATCCTCAGACAATGTACAGTAATAAAAGTAGCACCATAAAAGCATTTTAAAACACAGGCATGACCATCTAAAGACATCAATAAAATCCCACATGAAACTGGGAGAGAATAGTGAACTATACAACTAGTTCACCAATATTGTATCTAAAATAGTTAAAGGCTAGCGTGGGGAACCTATCTAAAGGCCTGGGTGAGCAAAAAGGTCTTTTCCTAGATAGAAGCTAGAGAAATTTGGCACCAAGGAGCCTCTGCAGGAAGTACAAAATGCCACCACTAAGAAGGACCTGTCCATAATGGCTGCCCACCTCGTTACCTAAGGATCTCTTGGGTATATACATTAAAGCAGTGGTGTCAAACATGCAGCCCGGGGGCTGGATCAGGCCCCAGAGGGCTTCTATCAGGTCCACAGTGGAACTGGCTGTCTTCTGCTTGTTCTTCAAGTTCTGCTGCTGCGTTATCGTAGGTTTGCAGCTTACAGATACACACCTAAACAGCATACTCAAAATTGCAACAGCACATACATTTTGATGTAATAATTCAGAGCAAGAGGTGTCAGTTATCAGACACTGTTAAATAAACAAATTATTGCAAGAGTGCTAATGTTTTAAGTGTGTTTATATTTTAAGTTAAAAAAAAATAACCTTTGTGTTTGTGTCCTTTATAAAGTTTATATCTCCACTACCTGGCATTACATTTTATGACACACATGGCCCAGCCCAACAAGGCCTCATTTATGTCAGATCTGGCCCTCATAACAAATGAGTCCGACACTCCGGCATCAAAGGGTTAGCTGCAGTATACATACAGTCAAGATTTTAATCAAAACCAGGAAGCAGAAGACTTCTTTGCAGACTGGAAAGATTTTAAAGACTATTTGGAAAAGTACTGGGATGTAAGGGACAATTTATTTTGCTTTGATAATTATTGAAGGTTAAAGGATATTAAAAATAGATAAAGATATAAGAATAAAAAATGGAGGGATAAGTTACCTATAGATATGAGTAAAAAAGGGAGGGACGAAGAACATCTAAGAAACGAACAGGAGGTTGGAGCACTGTGGGAAGCTGAGTAAGGGGGGGGGTAGGATGTATAACTATATAAGGTTTTATTTATGTTTGACTTTGTTTATTATATCCTAATAAAATGTTTTTTAAAAAAAGATTTTAATCAAAGTCTGGGTTTTTAAAAAAAAAATGTAAGAGTATGTTTCCAGAAGCAACTAACTCAGTGTGATTTTCCTGCTCAGTAGTGAATTGTAAGTTGATATTTCCAGGTGGTTCAAGTCTGGAACCAAAAGCCGAAGTTCAGCAAGAACCGGAGCAAGAGGAAAAACACCCCGCCAAAGGTATTTTCTTGTCTGTTGTTTTTTGTGGTGAGCATTTTTTTTGTGTGTGTGTGTATGCGTGCATGCCTGGAAGTCATGGTTGATTTTTGGCGACCCCTAGTGGGGCTTGTATATTTCAGAGAGGTGGCTTGCTATTGCTTGCCTCTGCATCCCCACCCTGGTATTCCTTGGAGGTCTCCCTCCCAAGCACTTGCCAGGGCCAGCCCTGCTTAGCTTCTGAGATACGATGAGATTGGGCTTGTGTAGTGCTCCTAAAGTTTTAGTTAATATTTTCTCCTATCCATCTTACTCAGAGCACTGAGTAGCATCCCTAGATGGTGCCTTATCCAGGCAGGGCTGGCTCAAGGTATTCTGCATCCCAAGTGGGTCCCAGGTGCTACACAGTGGAGGGTATAGCCAATGTCCATCACTGCCTCCTGTATATCTGGAGAGTTGAAGGAAATGCTGCTGGAGTTTACCTTGGACCTGGCCAGCAGCAGGGCAGATCTGGGAGGTGACAGTGACCACAAGTGATGGTAGTTACCCCCTCCTGTGTCCCAGCCCTTCTCATATTGTGCAACCCTGAGTGATCTCTTTGGTCCCTTGTGTGGTGAATTGCCTCTGCGTTCACATGTTCACTCGGATCAGACCTGCTTTGCACCATGTATGCAGTACAACAGGTGCTTCCCCCCCCCCAATAGTGTGAGATTTCAGTTCAACTAGTTTGAAAAAAGAATTGTTTCATGTTTGATTGATAACCAGTTAATGTTAGCCTAACCAGCAGTATACTATACAAAAGAAGTATTGTGTAAAGCAGCTTAGTATACAATCTGTGGTACATCTTAGGAGTTTGAAGCTTACACCTTGAGAAGCCTAATTTGCTTCCCCCCTTTCATTATCTTTTTTTTCTTTTTTAAAAAGCTTGTCAGCCTAGGTAATCGTGACGCTTCCCTTTCTCCTTCCATTTCCCTAATAATATTTCTAGATTGCAAAATTAGCTCATAGGAGCAAAATAACTCATACAGAACCAAGTATCGATACTTGCAAATGTTTTTAATGTTTATCAGCTATTCTGAATGCCAAATCTGGAATTTCTGGCAAAGATCAACAACTTGAGTTCTGTGTGCCTCTTGCTATTTTACCGCATTTAATGGATGGTTATAGACTAGAGTTCGCTGAGGCATACTTGCTCACTTCTGCCAACCCAGGACCATTGTGCCACCCTTCCTGGCTCCCAGTCGGCCCAGCAGGTGGGCAAGGCAGGGCACTGGGCCACCAGGAAAGCTCCTTAGTGGCCATGATGACAGTCCACCCTTGCCTTGACACTTCGTAATAGTAGTGGACAAAAGGTAACTATGCCGTGTATGTAGCATAGAATAAGTGCATAGGAGAGAGGCATGGCTGCCAGCTGTTTTGTTGGATGTCCCAACCTGTTGATTGTATTGACTCACTCTGTGTAATTTGTTTTGAGTCCCAGTGGAAGGTGGACCATAAAGCATGTCAATGAAAATGAATTTATATTTACCAGGTAACCTGGATGAATATAAGTTTGTAGCATAAATAGACCCCTCGTATGTCAGAGTCATAATTTGATGCTACACCTCTTGTTAACTGGTCTCAATGATGCAAAGACCTGAAATACAAAGTGCTCTAATCTTGTTAGAGCTTTCAGTCATGTGCAGGAATCTGCTGCTTTTGAAATTGGGCTTTAGCTGTCTTCCCTCATCATACAACCCATTTTGTGTTTTAAAATAGTCCTGTACATGTGAATGGGCAATAGAGGTGAATGCCTGCTGCAATCTAGTTTGCTTGTTAGTGTTGGTTAGTGACATCTTTTACATTGTACTTTAAATGCATTTTGTTACGTTTATTTTATTATTCTATCTAAATTTTATGTAATCACTCAGCTGTTGATCCTCAGACAATGTATAGTAATAAAAGTAACACCATAAAACCATTTTAAAGCATAGGTATGATAATCTAAAGACATCAGTAGAATCCCACATAAAACCAGCAGAGAATAAAATCAACTGTACAACTAGTTCATCAATACTGTATCTTAAATAGTTAAAGGCTAGTGAGGGGAACTTATCTAAAGGCCTGGGTGAGCCAAAAGGTATTTTCTTAAGTAAAAACTAGAGAAATTTGGCACCAGGGTCTCAGGAGCCTTTGCAGGAAGTGCAAAATGCCACCACTAAGAAGGACCTGTCCATAATAGCTGCCCACCTCATTACCTAAGGATCTTTTGGGTATGCCCATTAAAGGGTTAGCTGCAGTATGCATACAGTCAAGATTTTAAACAAAATCTGTTTTAAAAACCTGTAAGAGTACATTTCCAGAAGCCACTAAATCAATGTGAATTTCCTGCTTGGCAGTTAATTGTGAGTTGATGTTTCCAGGTTGTTCAAGTCCGGAGCAAAAAGCTGAAGTTCAGCAAGAACTGGAGCAAGAGGAGAAACACCCTGCCAAAGGTATTTTCTTGTTTGTTGTCCTCCTAAAATTTTGATTAATACTGTCTCCTATCCCCTCCAACCCTCACCCCACCAAGAACCACCCCCTCCAAAAAAGAAAAAAATATTGTCTCCTGCCCATCTTACTTGGCGCACTGAGTAGCATCCCTAGATGTTGCCTTATCCGGGCAGGGCTGGCTCAAGGTATTTTGCATCCCCAGTGGTCCCAGATCCCACACATTGGGGGTTATAGCCTATGCCCATCACCGTCTCCTGTATATCTGGAGAACTGAGGAAAGTGCCGCTGTTTACTTTGAACCCGGCCAGTTGCAGGGCAGATCCGGGAGGCGACAGTGGCCACAAGTGTGTCCAAGCCACTGTTCCCTCTAAGCTGAGTTAGTGTGAGCTAGCTCACAGTTTTTTAGCCTCTGGCTCACACATTTTTGTCTCAGCTCAGGAAGGATGGCTCCAGAGCAAGCTAATCTATGCAGTAGCCAAATCGCTTGCTCACCACTTTAATGCCAGTAGCTCACAAAGCAGAATTTTTGCTCACAGGACTCCACAGTTTAGAGGGAACATTAGCCCTTCTCAAATTGTGCAACCCCGAGTTATCTCTTGGGTCCCTTGTGTGCTGAATTTCCTCTGAGTCCAGATATTCACTAGGATCAGACCTTGTGACATGTATGCAACCATAACAGGTGCTTTCTTCCCCTATAGTGTGATGTTTCAGTTCAACTAGTTTGAAAAAAGTATTGTTTTACGTTTGATTGATAACCAGTTTATGTTAGCCTAACCAGTAGTATACTATCCAAAAGCAGCAGTGTGTAAAGCAGCTTAGCATACATCTTAGTATGATACACCTTAGAGTTTAAAGCTTACGCCATGAGAAGCCTAATTTGCTTCCCTGTCATTATCTTTTTTTTTCCTTCAAAAGCTTGTCAGCCTAGCTGATGGCAGCTCTTCCCTTCCTCCTTGTGGGAACAAAATAAGTTATACAAAACCAAGCATCGATATTTGCAAATGTTTTCAATATACATCAGTTATTCTGAATGCCAAATGTGGAATTTCTGGCCAAGCTCAACAACTTGAGTTCTTTGTGCCTCTTGCTATTTTTCCATATTTAATGGATGGTTATAGAATAGAGTTCGTTCAGTTCTGTCATCAGATGAGGTATACTTGCTCACTTCTGCCAACTCAGAACCATTGTGCCACCCTTCCTGCCTCCTGGTTGGCCTAGCAGGTGAGCGGGCAGGCCATTGGGTCACCTGGAAAATTCCTAGTGGCCATAATGACAGTGCACCCTTGCCTTGACACTTTGTAATAGTAGTGCACAAAAGGTAACTGTGCCATGTATGTAGCATAGAAAGGTGTACGTGCATAGGAGAGAGGCATGGCTGCCAAGAGTTACACTGTGGAAGGTAGGGTAACAAGTAAGTAAAATGTCAAGTGAGGCTACAGCAGCAGAGTGCTAGGCTGTAGTGATATAAAAATAATAATACCTCTATAATCTCCTTTTACAGGGAGAAGAAAAGCACTTAAGGATATTCTCAGGAAACTAAAGTTGCAGAAGAAAAAAAGCAAGAAATTCTCCCTGGAAGGAGTCCTAGAAATTAGTTCAGGGAGTTTAAAGGAGTGCATCCCTAGTGCCACGGGAGGCTTGCCGTGGCATTTTCTGAGGAAGGTCTTGGCTCTGAACGTGACAGCCAGGAGCACAAGCCTGGAGAAGGGGACATCTGATTGTCAAAAAACAAGGGAAGAGAAGGAGATAAACAGGATTGATAAGCGTATTTTCTGTACTGTCAGGATGGATGAAGGAGTTTCTGTGAACCCTCTTGATGTCCTTTGTGCTGTTCTGCTCTGTTCAGACAGTTTCCTCCAGCAGGAGATCCTTTCCAAAATGTCCATGTGCCAGTTTGCCTTGCCTTTACTTCTGCCTCCTTTAGAGACTTCCCATTGTACCCTGATGCTTTGGGCCATGAGAGACATTGTGAAAAAATGGAGGCCCCATTCCCTGGTTGACAGTAGGAGCTTTAGAGAGGAGAGTCTGGTGCTCACGTCCATGCCAACTATCTCCTTTGTGCGAATGGGAAGTTTGAGTCTCTCCAAGTCCAAACTCCTGAATGAGTTTCTCAGTCCTTCCCAGCAGCACCATGATTTCTTTCTGCACCGAGACATGGAATGTGGGAACATACCTCGGGAAATCGCTGATGGGCTAGTAGAGATTGCCTGGTATTTCCCAGGAGGGCAGAAGAGTTCCGATCTCTTCCCAGAACCAGTAGCAGTTGCAAATCTTCATGGAGGCATTGAATCACACCAGGTGCAGTTTAGTATGTGGGAACATCCCTCGGGAAATCGCTGATGGGCTAGTAGAGATTGCCTGGTATTTCCCAGGAGGACAGAAGAGCTTGGACCTTTTCCCAGAGCCCATTGCAATCGCTAACCTCCATGGAGATGTTGAGTCACACTGGGTGCAGTTCAGCTTTTTATCAGAGATATCCTCGGCAATATTTATATTTGCTGAACACATTGGTGTAAGAGAATATGCCCTTTTGTCATCGCTAAAAGAA